AATCCTATAATGACCCAGTTAGACAGGAGGAAAGGCAGCCAGCTGTGCCTGGGGCTCAGAGGAAGAAGGGGCTTTGTGCTGGGTGTGATGGTGGACACTTTAATTCCGGCATTTGGGAGGCAGAGGCAGGTGGACTTTTTAAAAATTGTTTTTATGTACATGGATGTTTTGTCTGCGTGTGTTTCTATGCACCATGTGCACGCAGTGCCTATGGAGACCAGAAGAGGGCGCTGGATCCTCTGGGACTGGAGTTATTGAAAGTTGTGAGCTGCCGTGTGGGTGCTGGGAAGTGAGCCTGGTTCCTCTGGAAGAGCAGCTGGTGCCCTTAACCACCAGCCCCAAACCAACCCCCGCCCCCTTTTCACTGTGTAGCCCCAGCTATCCCGGAACTCTGAAGTTACCTCTGTCTCCTGAGTGCTGGGATTAAAGGGTGCACACAAACTCTTAATTTAATCTTAACAAGTTAATTTTTGTATCTGAGCTAAGTGATTTTTTTCTACCTCTCAGATCATCACGACAGTCTCCCACGTTATCTTGTAAAGCTCTGTAACTGGGTTAGCTTTCTGTCGCCCTGACAAACTGCTCGAGAAAGTCATCTTAGAAACCGGGGAATACAGCTTAGCTGTGAGTGCTTGCCTAGCATGTTTGAAGCCCTAGGTTTGACACCTAACACTTCACAGACCAATCCTGATGGCACATGCCTGTAATTCTAGTCTTCCGGAGGTGGAGACCGAAGGGTCAGAAGGTTAAGGGAATCCTCAGCACTAACATAGAGTCTGAGGCCAGCCTGGGCAACATGATGCTATCCTTAAATGTGGTTTTGTTTTTCAAGACAGGGTTTCTCTGTGTAGCCCTGGCTGTCCTGGAACTCGCTCTGTGGACCAGGCTGGCCTCGAACTCGCTCTGTAGACCACCACCTCCCAGCCCATATAGTTGTTTTTGTCTACAATGCATGTCCCTTCCCATAATGCATCTGATTTTAATTATATGCATGCCCACTCATGCATAGGCATAAGATGGTAAATAGGAACGTCTCCTTAAAAAGATCACTTAAGGATATAGTTTTGCCCTATGTGCACCCAAAACTAGTTCTGGCCAGATAGGCCTTTCTGCTCTTGTACCTAGACATAAAGAGAATAGGACAGAGCCAGGCAGTGGTGGGACACACCTTTAATCCCAGCACTCAGGAGGCAGAGGCCAGTGTGGTCTACAGAGCAAGTTTCAGGATAGCCAGGGTCACACAGAGAAATCCCATCTTGGGAGAAAAAACAAAAACAAAAACAAAAAAACAAGACCAGGTGTCACCGTGTAGTCCTGGCAAGCCTGGAACTCCCAATGTAGTGAGTTTGGCCCTGAACTCAGAGATCCACCTGCCTCTTCCTCCAGAGTGCTGGGATTAAAGGCTTGGACCACCATGCCCGGCTCTCTTTATTTTCTCTCTTTAGATTTATTTTGACTTGTGTGTGTGCATGTGGGTATGTGAACATGGGTGCACACGCCTGCAGAGGCCAGAGGTGTGAGGTCTCCCTGGGGCTGGCGTTAGAGCTGGTTGTGAGCCTTTCAGGATGGATGCTTGAAACCCAACTTGGGTCCTCTGCAAGAGTGGGAAGAACTCTTAAACACGGGGCCATCTCTCTATCCCCTTTCTTTGTGTTGTATGAGGACAGCGGGGTGTCCAGCCCAGGTCCCCACAAGTGTTCTACCACTGAGCTACACCCCAAGTTTCCTGGCATCTTTGTGTCCTGTAGTCTGGAGAAGTCTCTGGGTTCACGAGTCTTTCACGCTGGCTGCTGGGCAGTCTGCTGATTCAGAGTCTGAGGTTTCTGCAGGGCGGAAGCTGATTGATGCCCCCTCGACAAGAGTAGCGCTGTCGAGGGTTCTCGGTGTCTTATCACAGGAAGCACATGATGTCGGTCTGTCCTGCAGATGGTGGTACCAAGTGTGGCGCTGGCGTGGCGTCTGCCGCATGCCTGCTGTGAAGTGAGCCATGCAGGAACGGCAGAAAGGGAACTGCCCTAACTGCAGCACTGCTCCTAGCAGGTTCTGACCTCTGTTCCTGGGACGACCTACTCCACTAGAGCTGATGTCTGCATGCAGGTGGCGGTCAGGAGAGTCCCCACGGCATCTGAACACAGGGCCTCGTGACTGCTGCCCCTTCTTTCACCTTTTATTTGATTGTTTCCTGAGTCAGGGTCTCACATGGCCCCAGTCAGCCTCAGAGTTGCTGGAATCCTCCTGCCTCAGCCTCTCATGCTGCGTCCTGCAGAGGACAGAGGTGGAGTTGTGCCTGGTTCACATTTGGTGCTCTTTAGTCTGTCTGTCTACTTCCCCTCCCGAGGCTCAGGCTCAGCTTCTCCCACTGGGCTCTTTTCTTGGCATGAGAAACTCAAAGGACCAGGCGAAACTGGCACCTAAAGTTACTTTTACTTTTTACAACCCAGTGTCCTTTATTATTGTTTATGCCATCATGCCGTCAACCCGGCAAATGGAGCAGCGTGTGTGCTGCTCCAGATGGAACAGGCTGGCTGAAGCTGGACAGACATCCTTCTCTTTGGTTTCCTACTTTTCTGACCATTTCAGGAAGCTGTCTGGGCTCTAAGAATGTTGTTGTTATTGTGTGCATGCAGTTATAATGTGGGTGCTTGTGGAGCTCAGACCAGCTCTCTCCTACCTTTACATGGGTTCTGGGGATGGATTGTCAGGTTTGCTGGCAAGTGTCTTTACCGGATAGGCTGTCTCACTGGCCCCTACTTCTGTTTTTGAGACAGAATCTTGCTATGTAGCCTTGGCTGGCCTGGAACTTGACATGTAACTTGAAGTTACAGCCACACTCCTGCCCCTGCTTCCTGGATGTTGAGAGATCACAGCCTGTGTCATCCATCATGTTGCTCTCTTAGAATGTTTGACATATGCTTGGCACACATGTATTCTCTTGGTAAGAACTGACTCGATGCCGGGTGATCTAATGAAAATGTTGTGTAACTGACTGGACGATGGCTCCACAGCTCTATGAGTATACCAAAACACCCACTGAACTAGGCATCTAAAATGGGTGAATGAACCAGCTGGGCAGTGGTGGCTTATACTTCTAGTCCCAGCACTCAGGAGGCAGAGGCAGGCGGCTCTCTGAGTTTGAAGCCAGCTTGGTTTACAGAGTGAGTTCCAGGACAGCCAGGGATACACAGAGAAAACCTGTCTAGAAAACTAAAACAAGGGGCTGGAGAGATGACTCAGTCATTAAGAGCACTGGCTGCTCTTCCTGAGGATCCAAGTTCTAGTCCCAGCACCCACATGGCAGCTCACAATTGTCTGTAACTCCAGTTCCAGAGATCTCCTCACACAGACAAATATGCCAGTAAAACACCAACGCACATAAAAGAAAAATAAAGAAAAAACAAAACTGAACAGAATTGACTTGTCTGCACCAATGTCAAGAACACACTGGGTAACATCGTGGCTTTTTTGGTGGACATCTCTTTGAATGAGACCTCTGCCCCTAGTGTCCCCAGCACCCACCTTCCTGCAGCTTGGCACGTGTGTGACCGAAGGAGCAACCTCAGCCTTAGTTTTGGTTTTTTGTAAAATCATTTAAGACCTTTATTAAAAGTGATTTTTTAAAGAAAGTCAAGTTGTAAAGTTTTGCTAGAAATTAAAACTTGAGTTCTTTAAAAAAACAAAAAAATCATATCTTGACCAGATATGAACTGATTTTAAAAAACCTTTAAAAATGTTTTGAGAAAAGTTGTGTCTTAAAAAATATGTTTATTGGGCTGGAGAGATGGCTCAGAGGTTAAGAGCACTAACTGCTCTTCCAGAGCTCTTGAGTTCAATTCCCAGCAACCACATGGTGGCTCACAACCATCTGTAATGAGATCTGGTGCCCTCTTCTGGTGAGTAGGCATACATGTAGGCAGAACACTATATAAATAAATCTTAAAAAAAAAATGTTTATTGGCTGGGCATGGTGGCACCTGCTTTAAGGCCAGCACTCAGGAGGCAGAGAAAGGAGGATGTCTGTGAGTTCAAGGCCAGCCAGGGGTACACACCCTGTCTCAAAACAAAACAAAACGTTTATCATTTATGCTGGCTACGTTTTGCCAGTTTGACACCAACTAGAGTCACATGGGAAAAAGGAACCTCAGTTGAAAAGGTGATCTATAGGCAAGCCTGTGGGAGATTTTCGTGATTAATGACTGATGCGGGAGGGCCCAGCCCACTGTGGGCTGTGCCACCACTACACAGGTGGTCCTGGGTTGTATAAACAAGCAAACTGACCAAGCCAGTAAACAAGGTTCCTGCGTGGGTGTGCTTCAGTTCCTGTCTCTGGGTGCCTGCCCTGATGTCCTTGTGGTGGCCTTACGACCTGGGACTTGTACGTTGAGATTAACCCTTTCCTCTCTGTGTTGCGTTTGGTCACAGTGTTCATCACAGTAACAGGAACTTGGTCAAAGGATCATGGGATGATGCTGTGAGGGACCTGCCCTCTTAAACCTTGGACTGTTCATTGGGGGAAGGTGGAGGCTTCTGGAGCTTTGAACTGGAAAAGCCACTGAATGCTCAGAGCCAGAAGAGCTGTTGTGGGAACTTGGAAGGTAATGCTGAGAGCAGTGCTGTGGGGCCCGGTTTGTGAGGCTTTAGACCAGTGGTCCTCAACCCTCCTAATGATGCGACCCTTTAATACAGCTCCTTATGTTGAGGTGACCCCAACCATAAAATTATCTCATTGCTACTTCCTAACCGTCAGTTTGCTACTGTTATAAATTTAATGTAAATACCTTTTCTGGAGATAGAGGTTTATAAAGGGGTTGCGACCCACAGGTTGAGAACTTCTGTTTTGGAGCAAGCAGAGCTCTACAGGAACTGTTCCTATTCATGTGATATTGATAAGAGTCTGTGGAAATGAAACCTTTGCCTCACTGGGACAATGGATACTGCATTAATCAGCTGGAATTAAGAAAAGACCAGCATCATTGAGGCAAAATCATCTGGGGAGTATTTCCTGAGGGTCGGTTGTGGCCCAGTTGAGATAAGGGGAGGGCAAGGCTGCATCTCAAGCCGGAAGTAGAATTAGGAATGTGTAAGAGTCTCCCTCATGCTACTGGTTTTGAGGGCACAAAGGGGTTGTGAAATGAATGATAAATGGTGCTGGTTACTGGCAGAAAGGTCACAGTCACCACAGAACCCAGTTGCTTAGTAGCACAGAGCTTTATTAGGAGGAAGGGGAGGAGGGACAAAAGGACCAGGCCTGGGGAGGAAAGAGAGAGAAAGATGGTGGGGTGGGGTGGGGGGAGAGAACAGAGCAGAGAGAGAGGGCGGGGTCTGCAACCGGCTTTTAAGGGATCCCGGTATGGAGCTACACCACGCATGCGCTGATTGCGTGACCATGCTGCGTGCATGTAGTCGCCAGTACACACTGATGATGTAAGACACATGTAGCTGGAGTGAGGGCAGAATTCTAACATTCCAGACTCATTGCTTATTATAAAAAAGCAAGTGAACAGGAATAGGGGCGTCATTTCTCCCAGAAAAACTGCTTCCAGCTGACTTGGTGGGCGTCCTGGGACGGTGGGCTGTCCTGCTGCTTCGGAGCTGTCCATCCCTCTCGGCTTGGCACTCTGGCCACTTATGTGTCTGACAGGATGCTGTGAGACAGAGAAAGCTTGGGGAAAAGGAATCATTATTATTTTTATTTTCTTTGGAGTGTCCCCAGACCAGGGAGTTTGTGTTTGGCACTTATCTGAAGTAGATCTGACCTGTCCAGAGGGATTTAACCTGGTTTCTGGAGCTTTGGAAAAAATTTGAGCCGGTTGTGGTGGCGCGCACCGGTAGGATTTGCTGAAGGAGGCAGAGGCAGGAGGATCTTGAGTTCGAGGCCAGCCTGGACTACACATTTGCCGGGCGGTGGTGGCGCACGCCTTTAATCCCAGCACTCGGGAGGCAGAGCCAGGCGGATCTCTGTGAGTTCGAGGCCAGCCTGGGCTACAAAGCGAGCTCCAGGAAAGGTGCAAAGCTACACAGAGAAACCCTGTCTCGAAAAAAAAAAAAAAAGAAAAAAAAAATTTTTGAACATGTTAAGAAGCAGCCATGAGAAGATTAGTGACCATTGTAGTGTTTAGTACTCGGCTTGTATTGGTTAGTGTTAATGGGAGAGACAGAGATTGGAACATGTTAAGCTTTATCAGAGACAGATTATTTTGAGGCACCTGTTTCCTTTACTAGTTTAGCATCCAGGAGACACAGGTGATCAATTGTTGAGAGCATTTAACAGTGATAGACTGTTACATTAGAGTCTGTTTTTGCAGAGCCCAGACACTTTTGGGTTTGAGGGTGTAAATACCTTTTAGCCGTTACAGTTTCTTACTTGATGATCCCTGGACTCCAGTTCTGTGGTGGTCCTTCACCATTAGCTGAGCAGTGAGTTAGGAGAGGAACTGGGAAGAGAAAAGTTTGCAGTACATGAGAACTTATTTCTTTGGAATTAGGGACAGGGCAGAGATCAGGGCCCTGTCTGTGTCACTGTGCATGGGAAGCCCTGCTGACTGGTCTGGAGTGAGGCACATGGAGGGAGCAATGAAATGAAAGCTCCTACCTTAGCTGGAAATCTTTTCCCATTAAGTAACCCTGAAAGTACAATTAAGTCTGGTGAGGTGGGTAGGGCTGTCCTCCCTACCCTGACAATAGGGAAATGAGGAGAGGTGAGACCCCAAAATTCTCAGGACTGGGTGAGTGGCTCTGGTGTCCAGAATGAAGGAAATGAATCACTTCCATGCTGCGTTCTGGATTCCCTGCAAGTGAGCCTGTGGCCAAGCCCAGGTCTGCTGGAGGTCTCAGCTTGATGCTCCCATGCCCCTTGGTGCCTGGGCGCAGTCAGCTGACTGGTTGTCTTTCCAGGTGGCACTTTGAACAAGGCTCAATTGATGGCCCGGCAGGGCACGCACTAGCTTGTGTGGCCTCCCCCGCCCCCACTTGAAACAGGGACCCAGCAGCTTTCGGGAGCCAGTCGGACAGTGTGCCAACACTTGGCGATTCTGTTCTCGGGCTTTTTCATCTCTCCTGGCGCACCTTAAATGCCACAGCTGAAACTTCTGCCTGTTGGGTCAGGAGCCTTGCTCTCCAGATGCTTAAGTTTTAGCCCTTATGTTGGGGAGGTCTGGGAGACAAGAGACAGATTTTATTGCGTGCCTTGAAAAAAAAAATTTTTTTTTTTGTCTGCTGGCTTGAGGACAGCTTTAGGAAGACCCACCAGGAGGCAGGCTGTAAACTGATCTCTGGCTAAAGAGCCATCCTGATTACTGTGATCCCCATGTGGGTCCTGATCGTAAACTTATTTGCATGCATCCTAGCCTGCTTTCAGACCGGTCTGTGCTCCTCAGGGCAGCTTGAGAACGAGTGGGAGGAGTTAAGGTTGAGTTAAGGTGAGAGCCAGGGTTGGCCAGAAGCGGCCTGCCCCGCATTGGAGAGTGGAGAGCAGAGCACAGAGCGGAGAACAGATAAGACAAGGTTCTGTGGAGTCAGAGATTCCTTAGGTATAGGAATGCACGTGGTCAGGAGAGTCAGAAAGGGAGAGGAGCTTGGGTAAAGGCATGGGGATAAGGTAACTCTTCATTTGCCCATTTGCTAGCAGAAGTTAGATAATTCCCGTGAAATATCAGAGTTCAAGCAGCCGTTATGTGGCCAGATTTACTGGTATCTAGGGATATTTAAGGCATTTATCAGAGGAGAAATGGAACCATGAGAAGGAAGCCCCTATGTCCCATGGTTTCAGCGCCAAGAGAGAAAAATAAAAAATTAAAATAAACAGGATCAGACTCAGTCCCAGGCGTCCCTGAGGTTGGAGAAGGATCTGTGAATCAGCACAGGTTACTCCCCGCCCCCCTTCATCAAGAGAGGAGTAAGGGCTGGGAGCGTACGCAGCACAAGGACTCCCCCCCCCCTCCCGCCCAGAGTCCGACAGCCTTGACCTCTTCATCAAGAAAGAGAATGAGTCGGTGTCTGTGCAGCCTGAGAACTACCCCCCCGGGGGGGTGGGTCTGGTGCAAGGAATATATCTCAGGCTACAGTCTCGGGAAATAGCAGGGGTTGGAAAGGGGAAAAACTCACCAATCTGGTTGGCAGGTGTAGTGCGCGGGTCTGGCGGCTAGGCAGATGAAAAAAGTGGAGTGGGCAGTCCCAAGTCCAGTGAACCTCAGCATAGGTTTCCGACACTCAGCTCCGGAGGCAGAGCGGGCAGAATGTCCTATCCGAGTCTCGGTGGCACCAATGAAATGAATGATGAGTGACACTGGTTACCGGCAGAAAGGTCATGGTCACGACAGAACCTGGTTGCTGAACCCGGTTGCTTAGTAGCACAGAGCTTTATTAAGAGGAAGGGGAGGAGGGACAAAAGGACCAGGCCTGGGGAGGAAAGAGAGAGAAAAGTGGTGGGGTGGGAGGAGAGAGAGCAGAGCACAGAGAGAGGGTGGGGTCTGCGTCCAGCTTTTAAGGGCTCCTGGTACAGACCTACACCACGCATGCGCTGATTGCGTGACCACGCCATGCGGGTAGTCGCCAGTGCACACCGATGATGTAAGGTGCATGTAGCTGGAGTGAGGGCAGAATTCTAACAGGTTGTCTTAGCTACTTTTCTATTTTTGTTTTAATTTTTTTGAGACAGTGTCTCTCTATATAGCCCTGGCTATCCCTCTGTAGACCAGGCTGGCCTCGAACCCACAGATTCTCCTGCCCCTGCCTCTTGAGTGTTTGGATTTTTTTAAAGTTGTACTATGTTTGTTGTTAACATTAACATGATCTTGGTACAAGCAAGAAAAGAAATGTATGGGCTAACAGTGATGCTTTGTACGTGATGTTGACAAGGGGTAAACTTGGTTAATTTTGTCAACTTAAAAACTAGAGTCACCTGGGAAGTAGTAGACTCCATCAGACTAACTAGTGGATGTGCGTGGTGGAGCATTTTCTTGTTAAAGATTGACACCAGAGGGCCCAGCCTACTGTGTAGCATGCCACCCCTGGGCAGGTGGTCCTGGGGTGAATAAGTAAAGAAGGTGGGTAAGCCACGGTGGAGGAAGCAGAGTTCCTCCATGACATCTGCCCCACTTCCTGCCTTGAGCTCCTTCCCTGATTTCTCTGGTAGAGTGGGACTTGAGAGTTGTACGGTGAAATAAACCCCTTCCTCTCCAAGGTGCCCTTGGCCATGGTGTTTATCACAGCCACAGGAAAGCAAACAACATCATTACCAGACAGACATGTCTGCGTAAAAATAATAAAAACCCCACGCTGTGTGACGGTGTGGATAGTTCTAGTGTACCTGGTCAATGGGCAAAAAGCAAGCATTTCCTACAGCTGTGATTGCACACGCATTTCTACACGGATGGCTAAACCAAATGATGGCTGAGGTGCTGAGCCAGCTTTTGCTCAGCCTTGCCCTGCTCAGCCTCAAGAGGGGTCAGATTCTCAGCTAGTTGTCTCTGCAATCTCTTGGTTTAGGGTGCCCTGGGCAGCTGAAGTTGTTAATACTGATGCTGAGGTGGCTGTTGACCTTGGGCTCTGACTTTCCTTGCCATCCTTTTTAGGCTCTTTGGCAAGGAAGGCTATGTGGAGTTGGTCTATCACCATCTACACATGGTCTCTCTCCCTGGCCTACCCTTCTGTCCTGCACTGTGGCTGTTTGCAGTCTCCATCACTCTTCCCAGCACAGAAAGCTGGAAACTGGTCTGCTCAGTCTTCTGTAGATTAAGGTGGGAACTTTCCCCTGCAGCATGGCCGGCCTTGTTGGGTCTGGCCTTCAGGAGTGCTCTGCCACCCCCACCCCTACACCATTGGGGTAATCCTGCTGGTTATTGCATGAAGAACCCCTAGGAAGCAGATAGTGTCAACAGTGGTTCCCTTTGCTGTGTATTTACTGTTGTGGACTGTCCCTTCTCCAGGCCTGGTAACGGTGGCTGCCTCTGAATCCATTTCTACCTCGGCATTGACCACCACAGTGACTCCAAACTTTGGAGTTCTTCCAGGGGCTGGCCTGAAACTTGCTGAGATCCACCTGCCCGTGCCTCTTGACTTCTAGGATTAAAGGGGAGTGCCTTCATGTGTGGCCTCCCTATCTACTGCTTACATCAAACCGTTCTACTGTTCACAAAACCTTGATTGAGATAACCTTTTTGTTCCTGTCAGTCTTCAGGCCGCCTGGGCCAGGGCTGCTTGCGGTACTAGGCTTCGGATTGGAGCTGGTGTTAGCTGGTGGCTACTGGGTGTCAGTTTTGCCACTCATGGAGGTGATGATAGTGCGGTGGTAGCTGCCGCTTTTCTAGGGTTGCCATGGTAACCGGGTCAGCAGCGCTCCAGCTGCTCCAGGCTCTGGGATTCTCTCCATTCCTGTTATTGATCCAATGCCATCTTTCTGTCTGCAGATTTGCTTAGCCTTCCACGTATGTTCAGCATGTGCATGCCAGATGCCCCCAGAATCAGGAGTGTTGGGCCCCTAGAGCTGGAGTCACAGGTGGCTGTGAGCTGCCATGTTGGTGCTGGGAACTGAAACCAGGTTCTCTGGAAGAGCAGCTGACCACCCACTTCCCATCTTTTCTTTGTAAACCCATCCCTTCCAACTCTTCCTTTTCTTCCCTCCCTCCCTCCCTCTCATTCCTTTGTGCTCTCTCAAACTGGCCTTGAAATACTGGGCTCACACGAGCCTTTCCCCCAGCCTTTTGAGTGCTAGAGTCTAGACATAGGACACACTGCTCATACTCCACGATTTTTTTAACTTTATGACATTTACTATCGTACACTTGGCCAGCTCAGCAACGGCAAACGCAGAGCCTCCATGCTTTCCTTCAGGCTGCGGTGACACCTAGGAGTTGCACTTGCGTCAGCACCAAGCCTCGTGAGAAGGCAGTGCTGGGTGTGGGTGGCCTGGGAGAACACCCAGACTCAGACTCTGAAGCAGTTTCTCCTGACCACACCTCCAGTTCCCACTGTGCAGAGGTGGAGCGATCACAAACTGAGCATCTTTGTCGGGGGCTGGCTGTAGGTAGCCTGGGCTGTGCTCCTATCCACTGACCTCTCCCCAGCCCTCCCGAGGTGAGGAACTGCTGGCTGCCCCTCCAGCCTGGACACTTAGGAGCACACCGATGTACTTGAGTTTGCTTCTTGTTCTACAGCCCGGCTGACCTGGAACTTGAGGTGATTCTTCTGTCTCCACCTCCCATGGGCTTATGATAACTGACCCGGTCTGGCTTCTGGGAGGTCCTGAGCTGCCTCCTGACCCTATTTCTTCAAGATCCTTAATCTTCATTGCTATCAGGGCACCTCTTCTACTGGCAGGCTGGCCCTAGGAGGAACACACAGCTTCACAGAGAGGCCTGGGCTGGCTTCCCACGCATGCTTTTTCTTTCTGGTAAATGGAATGTGCTCTGAGACCTACTAGATGTATCTGGCTGGTGAGCTGAGGCCCACCAATCACAGAGCACTCCATCCCAGAATAATTGTGCCTATAGATGTCTGCTTCCTCTCCCCAACCATCTGACAGTCACTTCTGCATTGTGACTTCCCTTAGTGAGGATGGTGGCCTCCTCAAAGCTTCCAAGAGCCAAGCCTGTTATACTGTTGCTGGAGTTCCGCCAAGGTGGCAGTGCTGTATCGCAGCAGAGGGCTGCCACTGAGCTCTCCCTGCCCCCAATCCAGCACTGACGGTCCTCTGGACTGGCTCCTACAGGCAGTGCCCCGCAGTGCCTTAGCATGCCGCCCCTTCCTGTTTAACATGCACTGGCATCCTTAGTTCATTTTCTGTTCCTTTAAAAAAAATACTAGTGGCTGAGTTTATTATCTGGGCACAGTGGTGTGTCTAATTTCAGCACCCAGGGGGCTGAAGTAGGAGGATCGTTCTTACGGGCTATCAGGAAGGCCTTTGGAGATTCATCTTTTCCAGTGTGCCATTGCTAGCCACCAGCCCCAGCTTTTCGTGCCCACTTCCGCTGACTACCAGGAATAAGTGTTCTTTTCCATGTCTTGGTCTGACCACAGTGAAAGGACCGTTCTTTTGCAGCGTGCCAGTGGCTCTACCTATCTTCACTGCCACCATCTAGGGAGCCTCCAACAGACAGAGGAAGAGAGCAAAGTTCAATCAGGGAGATTGGCACCTGTCAAATGTCCCTTGCTAGTCCACCCCACGGAAGTCCAACACACCGGTGGTTTCCATACTAGTAAAATATTTTTATTATTTTTATAACACAAGGAAAGTAAAGACTTCTTTTTGGTGTATACCAGAGCTAAGGGAAGCAGAATAAGGGGATTAATAGGACTTTTATGCACTTTTGATGACCAAAAAGTTAACAATACCAACTGCTTGCCATAAAACTTATCATAGCTCCAAACACATATAAAGGATCAGTTTTAAAATCTATAAAAGTAAAAAATATACAGTTGGACGCTCTAACACTTATCTCATCTTCAATATAAAATTGTAAACATTTATTTACACAAAGCACATGTGTAGAACAAAGTCCGAGCACCCTTTTCTGCCTGAGGCATGGCTTTGAGAAGATGGGATGTGCGAGGAAGTGGGGTCACCTCTTCCCAACTCCTCAAAGCCAGACTCATAAATAAAGCCGTGGGCAGCTCTGGGGGGACCCCAAGAATCACATTTTATTGCTTTGACACTGCAGCAAGTGAGCCGCCCACTGCCCGTGTGGCCAGCCTGGGCCTCAGGTAGAGTGGGGGCTGGCTGGCTGGCGTGCCCTGGGCGATGGGGGCAGGAGGGGGGCAGCTGTCGCGGGAGGCTGGAAGAGGAACCAGGACCCGGCGCCAGCCCTCGGCCACGTTTTTGGTAGAGAACCTGCTGAAGTCACCCTCTTCCCCCTACAACTGGGGGATGAGCAGAGGGTGGCATCTTCACTGGCTTTATGATTCACCTGCTTTAGAGCTGAACTGAGTTTCTGGGGAGGGCAGGCGGTAGGAGAAATGGCTATGAGACAAGGACTGAGAGCACTGGTGCCCTCAGTGGGAAAGGCACTGCCGGTGCAAACTAGTGAGCAGTGTGTACACCCCTGACCTCCAAGTGTGCTGGCTGCTCTCGTCATTCCCTTGGCTCAGTTTTTTACACTGGATCAAGAGTTCTGGGACCCAGGACAATGGGCAGAGCTGTGGTTCCTCTACAGACCACTCGGCACGCAAGTCACTCCAGCAAACACCTTTCCCTCCGCCATCCTGCTAAAGGTCTCGCCATCTTGCTTGTGGTAAGGACAAGCGCTGTCGGCAGCCCCCTCGCCACGCTCCAGTCTGTGGTCGTCAACAGACCTCAGAGAGAATGCACTCGCATCTTTAGCAAGGATGGGTTAGTGTTATAAAGCCACTTTCAAAGTGCAAATCGCCAGCCGCGGGAGAAGCGCAAGCATGGCGGGAAAGGGCAGAGTGACTCCTGGGCGGTGGGCTGCCTGCAGCCTCCAGGCTCCCTAAGGAGTTTGACTTTTCCTCCTCTAATGTAGTAAAGGGAATCACCATTTCCCAGTTTGGCTGGAAGAGGATGAGGAGGCAGGAAGAAGGGTCATGGGGTGATGTGGAGGAGGAAAGAGGTGTGCACATCTGAACGGCACTGCTGCCGTGGTAAATACGGGTTGTCAGAGATGCAGAGGCTGGACCCTCAAGGGGCCCAGTATCCCAGAGTGAGTGGCAGCTAGGAAGTAGGAGCTTAAGGAAGGACCCTATCTGGACCACTCGATCTACCATCTTGTGGCATCCTGATCATTTTGGCATCTGCAGCCACAGCCTAGACTTGTGGCAATGATTTCCAGTGACCATGCAAGCTGACAGAGCAGGAATAGAAAGCTCCGACTCAAAAGGAAACCCCAGGTCTCCAGTGCCGCTGACGAGTAAAACCACCACCTATCCTAACCTGCTTCAAATCTTCAATTAAACAAGTTACTGCTATGCTACAAAATGCAAGTTATTCTATTTAAAATTTCAACAGAAATTTGTTCCCAGCCTTGAGGCAAGTGGAGAAATCTGGGTAAAAACACAGCACATTGTTTTTGATAAGCCTGACATGGTGGGGCTTAATTGTTTCCACTGGCTTTTTGGTCATGTGGGTAGGAAGCCACCTTTCCAACCCCTCTCCTGCGATCCCACCCTCAGGTAGTGATGCCAATGGGCTGGGCCAGCCCAGTGGACCAGCAGACACTGACCAGAGCCGGCTTCAGCTGTGCCTTAAGTTCTACTGGCCTAGCTCTCTGGGCCCTGGGCTTTTGGTCCAAAGTAGTTGCTCTTTCTTGAGTCTGAGAACAAAAATATAAGATATCTAACACGGAGAACACACAACTTCCTGTTACTGTGACCCTAGAAGATCGTCCAGCTCATTGATCCACTCTTCAGAAGTCCTGTTCTTCAACAGTGAGTCGATCAGGTCAGTGTGTCCAGCCACACTGGACAGCCCACTGCTCCCTGGCTGCCCGCTGAAGGTGAAGGGCAGCTCCTGGCCCATGGTCCTCCCAGGGTAGGCCTGAGTGCAGTGCAGCCCCGCCCTGCTGTTCATCTGTGAAGTGGGGCTCTGGCTAAAGGCCCCCAGCTCAGGCCCTGCGGGGCTTAGGCCAGGCAAGCCCTGCTGAGGGGCTGCTTGGGGAGGGGTGGGCGCAGGGGCGCTGTTCCTCTGCTGGGTGCTCACGGGGGGCAGCAATGAGCCTGCTGCACCTGCTGAACTCATGGGGGCCATGGGCCTGCTGGGCATGGCTTGGGAGAACTGCTGGCCAGGGATTTTCAGGTGAGCCTGCTGCATGTGGAAACCGGAAGCTGCAGTGAAGGGGCTCACGCTGCTGTTCCCTGGCGTCTGGCTGCTCAGGTTTGGCATTCCCTGATGTTGCCATGAGGCATTCTGGCCTCCCATGGCTGCTGACACCCTTGGGACTTGTGGCTTTGTTAAACCAGGAGGCAGGGTTCCCTTACTGTGCTGCTGGGAGAGGCCAGCACTCCCCAGAGAGTTCTGTCCATAGGCAGCTGGAGTGGAGGCATTCTGGCCCACATTGGTCTGCCGGGGAATGTGGGCATGTGCACTGGTAGCCTGTGGTGGGGGCTGGGCAACTATCTGGGGTAGGCCAGAGGCCATGCCATAAAGGCTGCTCTGAGGCAAGCTCTGGGACCCAGTAAACTGGGCCACTCCTCGGTCCTGCTGGCCTGAGCTGGAGGGAAGAGAAGAAACAGGAGCATGTCCAGGACCCATTGACATCAGAGTCCCAGGCTGTGGCGGAAACACTCGAGGACAGCTGGAACTGGATGGACCCAAGTTGTTCATGCCAGGCACAGCAGCAGAAGGTCCTAGAAGACAGAACATTCTAGCAATCAAGTTGGCATTCATTTTTTCTTTACATTTGTGTGTATGTGTGCGTGTGTGTGAGTGTGTGTCTGTGTGTGTGTGGTGTGTGTCTGTGTGTGGTGTGTGTGTGTGTGTGTGTGTGTGTGTGTGTGTGGTGTGTGTGTGTGTGTGTCTGTGTGGTGTGTGTGTGAGTGTGTGTGTGTGTGTGTGTGAGTGTGTGTGTGTGAGTGTGTGTGTGGTGTATGTGTGTCTGTGTCTGTGTGTGGTGTGTGTGTGTGGTGTGTGTGTGAGTG